ATGAAATCATATCAGCACTTAAAGATAATAAATAAATAAATAAATATAAAGAGATAATAAACGAAATTATAAAATAAAGCATTAATTGTAAATATAGTATAAAAAGATAATAAACGAAATTTTCAAAGTCTTGGACGTCGTCGCAGCAATGGGCCAAGTTTAACCACACGTGCCAGCGTCATTAACTCACACTCTGTGCTAGGCTCACTAGTGATTGAACATAAACTTGCATGTGCAGACTATGTGCAGCAAATCATATTGGTACACTTGCATGAATGTCTGAAAGTAACTGTTTTATGTGTAAGTTTATGCATAAATAATGCATGTTAATTAATGTTATGTAAAGTATGTATAGTTTTATGTAACCTGTAGAACCTGTATATCAGTTGTATATACCAAAAGCACCTTTACAGCCCTCCTTTAGCAGCGTAAATGTAATTGCAGTTTCGCAATAAACTCCAAATGGGGCGTCTTTTAAGGGTCTTACGGGAGGCATTCTCTTTATAGTGGAAAACGAGGGACATATACCTGCGTACCATTGATGCCCACCAAGTGTCATTGGTATCCACGAAGTGTTCCCGCTCCCCGTCACTTATCTAGATGGATAGTTAGCTCGTATGCTTTGCCATAATCCAAATAGTTTGCATTTTCGATGAATAGGTTAGTTTTACGTTGATATTCTATGATAGTTTTTCCTTAATTTCACAAAAATTTTTTATGACTTGGTTAAGCGAAAGTGCACTTACAGGATTTTCCGTTTATTCATTTACCTTATTACCTTCGTAACATCTGTAAAAGTAAATTTTCAAGATTCTACTAAGTGGCTCATTTCAGTTACTGTTGGACCGTAAATGATTTTCAAAATTTGTTTCAGGAGAAATATTTTTAATACTGGTTTTATCTTTCATCTGTATATATTCAAAATTTCACCATTCGTCTAGCGCATTATAATCTTAGTTATGTGCCATGAAACTCGCAAACTCAGGAGAAATATAAATACGTAAATATGAGCAAATCTTGTCTCTTTAAATTTCTCGACACACTGAGACTAGAAATTGTTCTTAACTTCAGTTGTTTAGTTAAATGACATTTTTAGAGATTAGAATTTATTTGCAGTGTAAAATGTGTCTATTAAGGGAGGTGTCTAAATTCGGTATAGAGTTTTCTAAATATCGGGTATCTAAATTTCGCACATTCCCTAACCATATATAAAATTTTAAAAATATGTACCCAAAAAATTACGAATTTGAATTACTTCATTTTCTGTCGGATTTGCAAAGGAAACTAATCACTGATGGCTATAAACGAAATCTGCTGACTTGTCGTGTAATATATATTGGCTATGAAATCGCATTTTTAATTAAAAGAACAGGTTATACGGTATAAGGTGTAATGACCGTCTAAAACGTAAAATGGTGCGCTATATGCCTTCCACCTTTTTTCCTCTTCCATCAGCCATCTGAACCAGAACAACTATGAGTCTGCTTTTTCTCTCCCGGAGCTAGCAATTCATCGGAAGTGAGTTTTCTTGTGAACATGACCCACATAGAACAGGATAACCTGCTTTTTCGCCTTTAAATTTCGCCGCTGGATTCAAACTCAGTATTCGTCACGTACGGAACAGAATACAAGTTTCTCTTTACTATGTCGGTCAATATATAAAGACCATTAATGTAATTTGAAAACAGTTTCTATCACCTTCAGTTCTTCCATCTTCTGAATTCAGATTCTTTGACGTCGCTCGAAGATCCGTTTCGAGTTTTTAAGTTTCTCATTCTTTGTCCTCAATCTCCGCGCATTTTGATTTTCCTTCTATTGAGAGGAATTCACTGAAATAATTGTTGTGCTCTAATTGTAAATCTTTTAAAACTTATATCGTTAATCTTGGAAACATGTTTCGTTTTTAATGATGCATGAAATTTTTAATTATCGGGTTGTTATCTTGTGGTGATTATAGAGCATAATAAGCTTTACTTCTTAAATGAATTCAATAACTTTGGTAGGAGAAAGTTATTTTTAAACATGGAAACCACAATTAGATGCACTTCAATGCTTTGTGACCAACTTGTCCAAACACGTCATTAGGTAAAATTAGTGCAGTGGTATTAATCTAAGTTTTGACATTTTCTACATTTCCGTGCTAGAAAAGAGAATTTTAAAATAAGATGTTCATTTAGTGTACGATATGGATTTGACAAAATGTTATCAAAAGCATTATTTCAAACTTTTATCATATATTTGTTTCTCATTCAAATGCCGCGGTAAAATTTGACTATTAACTCGTAACCCATTCTTTAGTAGTCGAGACAGAAAAAAAACAATTTCGGGTAAAATTTCCTCACTTGGGGAAACTTGCTCGTATAAACCCGACTCACTTTTTCTCAGAAAATTGACGAATACAGTCCTTCCAAAGCAAGCAATGATCATATACTTCACCGTAGTTGCAAGTCTTTTCGAACATGATGTCGAAACCTTAAGTAAATATATCTCCAAAAATAACCTATTTGTTCAATAGTGAGCATTAAATTTTGTTTCACGCCATAGTGAAAGTATATCATTTCTTTACTTAATCTGTTCATAAAAGGAAATGTAGTTGTTCGGTTTCCTATGCTAAATAATTTCCCAATGGCTTTCAATCTTTGTTAGTTTCATGCATGCCTTTAGCTTGGTATGACTTTAAATTTATAACTGGCAGATGTCTGAACATATTTCAAAGTGAAATCATGCCTATGAATACCTGGGTTGAAACGTATTAGTCTTGCTCATCAGAACATTTGCTCCAGTCATTTCAGTCAGTCCTCCTGGAGACTTAAACTACAGTGTGAAAGATTTCCAGAAATAAGTTAATAAACTGAAAACTTTAAAAGCCTACATTTTAGACCTTAACTACCAGACACGAACTTCCCGAGAGCTTAAATGCCCACTAATGTCTGCGAGTAAGCCACACAAGTAGTTCGACCCCGGTTTGAATCACAGTGAAGGGGCTAACTGCTTGAGGATTTTCGAGCTTTTCTGCATTGTTCAGTTTCTCTTAGAAACCTCCAAATTGTCCTTTCCTTTTGCCAGGTAATCCTTGCAAGCTTACCATAACTGGTTAAATAAAGAGTTGTGAAATGTCGTCTAATAATGCTTCAACAGTTTGTTTTTGAATGTTAATTTTGTGCAGTTATGTTATACAAGGTATGAGTTGGTAATAATGGAGGTTAAAGGGACAGACTTAAAACTCCAGTACAGTAAGCCAGCTCCAGTATCCAGCCCCAATACAGTAAGCCAGAGCCAGTGTACAGCTCCAATACAGCAGAGCTTTAAAACTCCAATACAGTAAGCCATTTCACGGAGACCACTTCCTGTAGATAACTTTTAAAAATGACAATTCTTTTTTAGAACATAAGTATCTGTAATGAATATAATTTTGTGCTGTTATGTTATACAAGGTATGAGTTGGTAATAATGGAGGTTAAAGGGACAGACTTAAAACTCTAATACAGTAAGCCAGCTCCAGTATCCAGCCCCAATACAGTAAGCCAGAGCCAGTATACAGCTCCAATACAGTGGAGCTTTAAAACTCCAATACAATAAGCCATTTCATGAGGACCACTTCCTGTAGATAACTTTTAAAAATGACCATTCTTTTATAGAGCATAAGTATCTGTAATGAATATATTTTTAAGATAGTCATTTTAAAGACTTACCTGGAAAAGTTACCTGGAAAAGCAATTGATAGTCTTAGTAGAAAGTTCACTGTATTTTGAGATTTTCACTAAAATATAAATGTTCCTCCAAAGCCTTTGCTTGTGATTGGTTTTTTGATAAATTGTACGACAAAACTATGTTAACGGAATAGTTCGTATATCTATGCTTAAATGTTTGGCCTCATGAACCATGATGTAAGATTTAAGCTTACTCTTATGAAATGAATTTAAACCAGAAATAATTGTAAGGCGAGGGTAGTTAAAAATGAAATGTTGTGACCTGAAACTTAACTTTCATTATTTAATCTAGCATGGATGCCTCAAGGAGTGGTTTCAAGCGTGAAACTGAGCTGATAATTGTTTTATTTCGCCATGACAAGTTAATTCATAACTTCCGCCGAGGTTTACGTTTTAAATTTTTTTTTCTGTTAAAAGAAATTCAAAAATAGTGTGCCATATTCCCCATTACTCTCTCGTATTCACCAATATTGAAGACTTGCGCTGAAAGACGAACCCATGGAATCTCGCGCAAACGTCATATTAAGACGTTCATGTTAAATGAGGCCAAGTTCGGATACGGAGGAACTCAATTCTTGAGGGAGAAGTGCGGCGGGAGTTTATGCATGTGTTAAGGAAAGGCGCCGTCAGGTGTATGTAGCGGTTGAGAGACGAGATAGCTCTCGGGCATGGATGACTTCTTTGCTCAAGGATGCAGAGCGCGCGGCACGAACGAAAGGATTATAGAAACTCGCCGAAATTTGCAGGTTTTTGGTGCTGTCTAGAACAAAGCTTTTCCATACATGAAAGAAATAGAATATTTTCCTTAAATTCTACATCTCGTATTCCCGATTAATACCGAAACCAAAACTTTCTCCAGAATACTAGAAATTCTGCTTTCCTGTTTAAGCACTAATAAATCTGGAATATAATTTGAAACCAATGTCACGATACCCGTTGTACCAAACTCCAAAGAATAACTGATGAATTTATTAAACAGAGGGAACTACGCGCTAGTGCTCAATCTAGCAATTTGTATAAAAATTACTTCTTTTATTGTAAATACCCACTTAAGACCTTGAAGTGAATTTCCATCGATATTTCTCGAATGCCTTAATAAACTTAAAATCTCGAAGTAGGAATATCTTGTAATCCTGACATATCGTGCTTATGGTTATTTTTGAAAATTATTTGCTGATAAGATAGTTTACTAAAATATATCATAATTAATCTAAGTATCTTCTTGGTGTTTTCATTCTTGTGTTGAAGAATTTGTATTTTGAGAATTCAACTGACAATACTTTTTTCCAGATTCCCGAGTACAAAACTGGATGTTCATGGGAGGGCCTGCTCCAACGTTAACAATATGCTTGTCGTATGTCTTATTCGTGAAGTGGATTGGCCCTTACCTAATGCGAAACAGACCACCTCTAAACATTAGGTGGCTCATGATTCTCTACAATTTTGCCATGGTCATCATCAGCACTTACATATTCCTCGAGGTTAGCTTTTTTCGCTCTTCCTATTTAATCATTTATTTCTTCATTAATGCAAGCCTACCATCCTTTCACTAAAATTATGTTCATTCAAGGAACTGTTTAAAATATTTTTATACGTATTCCTAAATTTCATAATGTCATTAAAAAAATTTACTTAACTTAAAATGAGTACTTTGTTTAAAATAGAGTACGTCATCGTCCAATTAAACAGTTAAAAAATCGAAAACATTCTGCTAGTAATGAACATAGTTTTATTAATGTTCTCAGCATTTTGTCAAGACATGCTCCATAACATTTTTATATTGCCTTTGTACTTAATTCTGAGTTTTAAATTCACCATTTTATGTTTCATGTCCTTCGTTGTATATTTTGTAAAACAGTCTTATATTTTTGAAATAAACTAAAATGGTTCAAAGAAATTTCCAATAAATTCTCAACAGTATTGTATATATCAAAATTGTATCTCTAATCTAAACTCTACATCTTAAATTTTCAAATAAGATTTCAAAACTGTTTCTGAAATGCAATTTTTGAAACTCCCGCTTCTACCCATATGGAATTCGTGATGTAGCCTAAAATAGTATTTAAAACGCATTCAAAATTAAATTTGGGCAGAACTTTGAAATTGTATCCTTTTCCTGTGTAAGAGTGGCGTCGGTGGAGCAATTAACTCTAAGCATTATTTGCTGTTAATGCATATCAATTTATTATAATATCATACATTTAATTTAAAGTGTAGGTAATAACATAATTAAGTAAACGAAGTATGGTGCTACATATGATTGTGGAGATATAAATATTTGAAAAATAAACTTGGAGAAAGGTGTTCAAAGATTGAGAGTTTGACATAACACTTTAAATAACCGAATATTTTTAAATAAGCTTTAAAATTTCCTAAAATCATCTTCATATGTATTTCTTTAGTCTGTCCGTTTTTCTTACATAAAGTTCGACCGTAGTCTTTTCAGAATAAACGTATTTTAAGAATATTGTAGAAGTGAATTTTTAGGCTCTGTTAATTTGATAGAAACGAAAGCTTAAAACTTGTCAAATCTTTTCCTTGCTTCCTTTATAGTTTAATTCTGCTATCTATTAAGGTAATTTCTTATTTTCAGTTGGGATTCATAGGATGGTTCTCCAAATACAACTGGAAATGTCAACCTGTGGATTATTCAGATAGCCCAGATGCAACAGCTGTAAGTTGATTTTTCTTATAAAACGGTGCTTTTTATTGCTTTGGTTTAAACTCTTTGGCTTAAAAGTAAGCTGAGAAAATTTTCAACCATTCCAGTATTTATGAACTCGGAAAATTCATAAAATCTGGTTTCATGTCGCGTGCAGTGAATTATAAAGATAGAACATTTGTATTGAAATATAATTAACTAGAAATGCACAGCTTACTTGAAACTTATTGTTTCAAAAACCTCTGAATCATATCTCTGAGTCTGGTTAATCTGAAAATGTTTTTGAGGTTTAGGATATGTTATCATTTTGATTGTGAAATATTGTGGTTTACCTTTGAAGTTCTCTAGTTCCGTTGTACTGTTTTAATTTTTTGGTAGCACTAATAATTTTTTGTCACATCTTGCATTTTCCTGGTAATAGATAATGGACAACCCACAGTAGTTAATGTGCAGATTATTAGACTGCACCAAAAGATGTATAAAGCTTTCAATATATACTTGAAAGTCCATTTTGAAGGAAATAAGTAGTTCTGCTTGAAGGTTAATGTTACTAACTACCGCCGTACAGAATTTAGTTCAGTTTTCAGCCGAAATCCAAAGCAAGTACTATTTGTTGTATAAAACGTATTCTGAAGAAAGAATGCGTTAATGTCTTTAAGTAAATATGTGAAAAATGAAACTCCACATTTAAGTTTTGTTTTTAAGCTAAGGACTGTAAATATCTCTAATTACTGTTTGACTTTCGAAGGACTGAATATTTATGCATCAAAGTATACATGTAACTCGCAAAATTAAATTTTCGATGCTATATTTTTACTGGTATAATATTGGTAACTGGTATAATATTACTGGTATAATATTGGTAATTATTGCCCGGGTATAATTTAGGATATTATCGGGCCCATGACGTTACTTATCTGGGAAAGTTTATTAATACACACACAGCTTAAAATCTTTATTGCCGTAGGAGTTTAATAGTTGTAAACTGCTTCTAATTTTTGTTGCTTTAACCTCATTAACAAAGAAATCAACTCCAAGCCAATATAATGTAAAATTAAATAATTAATAATAATGCATATGTTTAACCTGCAATTTGGTCAGTTAGCTTGTAAATAACACTGCTAAAAGTTATGCTTTTTTTCAATGTCTGTTTCAAATGCGTATGTTTGAATGTTTTGCCCGAAGAATGGATTATATAAGCATATGTATCCTGAATAAAAGGACTGCCAACAAATGTTTTCTTATCCAAATTTATTATTCTTACGACTTTTGCTTAGTAACTTGAAAAGAAAAGGCTATTTTATTTTTATAATTTTCATGCTTCAAATGCACACTTTGCTTATGATATGCATATTATTTCTAATTCATTACGTCTAAAAATATACTATGCAAAAAAAGAATCTAATATTATACATTGTATGTTCAGAATATAAAACATTACCAAGACATGAGAGTGCTTCTCAGTGTAGGATTATGACTTTTTTGACCACATTTTACTAGAATGTCTCCCGATTTTATTTATTTTTCTCTCATTCTTACTCTCCTTTTATTTGACTGAAAAGGAATCCCAAAATAATCGTTTTTAATGTTTGACATATTTTGAGCTTTTGATAATGGTACAACATATGTAGCTAGGTGCATGAAAGTTTCTTATTTTTGAGTGCACGATGTTTATATTTTTAAATGAAATAGTATATGTATTTTAGTTTCCCCTCTTTCTTTCCGTTAATAACGCATATTGGTCATACTTATCTTTATACGTAGCATTTTATGATCCATTTTCTGTTTTGAAAATGGAACATTATTTGAAAGAAAGTAAATTAACACTAGAGGTCCTGTTTGTCTCTAAACTCTTATCCATATCACTTTTGTGCCAGAATCTTTTTTCAATTTGTCACCACCAGTCACGATGTATATTTTAAATGTTCCTCGTGTTGTGTAAAAATAATCTCACCTAGAGCCACCAACTTTTAAATGCACTCTGATCTCCACCCAAGCATTGGAATCTCGCAGCCCGAATTTAGAATTTGATATATTTCATAATTTCTATAAATTTAACGGATTTTAATTTAAAAAATTCAACCACTTTAAAGCAGGAAATGGCAACTCTATTAGAAATAAAAAAAATTTTAACCCCAGCTCCTCAGACTGGCTATCGGAATTTTAAAGATGTGCTGTTTTTAAATATTTTTGGCCGAAAAGGGGCATCCTTCACCATGTTGCCATTCAGTAAAGTCCAAGATATTTAACTTTCAAATATAATCTTTGTGTTGCTGAGAAGCAAATGTTATTGAGTGCGTTTATAGCTTTTCAGTCACTTTGATCGAAAATCGATAAGTGCAGTTCTTGCAAAAATCTTTCTACTTAATATTTTACTTTCTGATTTAAATAAAAATGTACGTATTTAAATCATGACATGCTTAATTAGAAATATTGGATATTTTTATGAAGTTGCATAGCTGGCTCATTAAAATAATTTTTGGCGGCTAGTTTTTTAAAATAAAAAGGCGGAATATAAAAGTGTGATAATCCCCAACACTTTAGCTAGAATTTTTTGGTATTTTTAATATTTCGTGATTTTGCTCTTAAACTGTATGTGGCGTGTTTGCAAAGAAAGCGATGCTAAATAATAAAGCTAAAATCGTGTTAAGAGTAGCGAGTCCAGGAGCAGATTGGTAACCTGCAATTCTCGGCGAAATCATAAACAAACCTTAACAAATCCTCCGGTGGCACGTTAATTTCTAATCCTTGCAGATATTAAATCTGCGCTTGGCATAGGTGATTTTGATTGTTTTGTGCCAGAATCTTACTAAACAGTTTATAATTGAATTTGTAATGTGCGATAATCTGTATTTAACTTCCAATTCATCCTTCAGATCTTGTACTGGAGCAGTTCTATGTTCTGAATTGCTAAACTTTTAAATAATAAATTTTAGCCTCTTCCCTTTTTGATTATAATCAAGGGCATTCTACAAAAACTCTTTGTTTATTTAATACTGCAGGGTAAATGTGTTTTGCATGGAGTTAGATCCGTATTTAACCTTTTTCCCCATCTGGCATCACTTTTGAAGCATATGCTTTCTTAACCGTGACGGTTTTCAGATTTCCCAAAAGTAGGAATGCCTATTTATGTAGAAAATCGGTTAATATTTTGAATTTAAAACTGCATGTTCGGTATTAATGGAAATCATTTAACGTATTACTCGTGATGCATATGTTCAAATCTTTTCCATTCCATTAATTTCGATGTTAATTTTGCTGGAAAAGATAGGCAGCATATTCTAAAATTCAGAGCTGTTATTTTTATATGTAAAAAAAATCGTTTTGTATCTGAAGCCTTTCCTATCCCCTGAGAATCTTAAATTTGAACTATATGAATTTATCATTGCTGAATTTTTAAAGCATTTAAGTGTTGGAACTAAAGCACAGCATTGATTGATATAAAAACTATTTTTAACAGGATAGCTTTCAGCGATTAAACACTATCGGCCCCTGCATTTGCAAAGGAACAAGCATGAAATTTGGCACATATTTGGAAACAGCAAAGCGCAAAAATTGCGCCTTGCTTTTTCCAGATATTTCCATAAGCTACCCCTCTTCAAGTCCTCATGAAGCCTTCCCTCGCTTTAAAAAGATTATCCTCCTTTTATTTACTATATTAGAGTGCGGAAGCATATGCAGACGGTCAAGCATTTTTAGTGAATAAAAGCTTTTCACAATGTATTCATAGTCTATTTCTTGTCGGATTTTGCGGGTGTTATTGTAAACTTGTATTTAAATTTAATATTTATATGCACTACATTGAATTTAAGATGCTTTTAATTCATATACAAATCATGCTTAATGTAACTTTGTGAATTTTTTCGCCCAAACACCCGTCACGCCATTTTAAAATGCGAATTTTAAACCGAATTGAGAAATTTAAATCAGCTTCAAATACGAGTTTAGAGTGAGCATTTTCTTATCTTAAAGCGAATGCAAAATGCGCTCGTTCTAAATTCCTTTATTGGCAAAATCATTATACCAAAGATCCTTTTACCCTCGCTGATACAGTCATGGAATTACGCATACATCGCTCATCCGAGATGAACTCAAAATCTTTAACCGTAAACTTGAAATTTTATAATTCATGAAGATTTCGAGACCGAAATGTTTTCGTCACGTAACTCGTACGATACTTAACGATCAAGACGTTTCCTGTGTTTGCACGTTTGTTCCCTCAATTATGATCCAAATTTTTGCTTGGCAAATATTTGTCGTAATTCAGCAATGTATTAAAACCAAGCGGTGAATACTCTGGTACTTTTAATCGCAGCAGAAAAATAGAGGGATGAATGAAATGAGAAACTGCTGAGCTGTTTTTGTATTTTAGAATTTTGAAGGAATTTATGAAGACGATTCTTTTAAATGCATAGATTTGAAATCGAGTTTTAAAGTACTAAACAAGAGTTGGTTTTATTTCGTTGTAGGGCAATTCTCACGAATAGTTTTTCCTAGAAATATATGCTTCAGCTTAATACATCCCGTAAGAAAACATACTTCTAAACATTAGCTCATTTCGACTTAACTTTTTTGAAGATATAGTTTGGTTTGTTTTATGTGATCACAGCAAAGCCTCGAGAGGTATCTGCCTAAGGGTAGAGATGCCTTCGTGGAGGACTTTCTAAGGCAAACTGGCTCGCATACACGCTACATATGGGGAAAACCACGAAAACTCCCATGCAGCCAGCTCGTTCACGAGAATTGAAACTTCGAACCGAACTACCAGTATTTAGAGACTTTACCGTTCGGCCGTTGGTGGGCACCTTTTGAAGGTGTAAAAGAGCTTTTAGGCTAGCTATTTCAATTAGCAAGAGCGAAATATGGCAACATAAAATTTTAATGGGCAATACTTTGGAAACGGAATACTATTTTGAGCGATAGAACTCCCATTTACTTGTGACCGATTAATCTTAATCGTATATCTTGATGTAGAATGTTTTGTGCGTGCTGTCCTACAATGGAGAAAATCCATTGAATTCATAAAGCTGCACGAATAATTTTTTGATAAGTACTCATGAAGAGCATGGACTAAAATCGAACAGTGTAATCTGGTTTTCAGCTGATGTTCAGTTATTTTTTCTTAGCCTGATCATTCTCCCACCTATGGATGCCGAAGATATATCGGGAACTTTTAGTGGTCTGTGGGATAATAATGGGACTTTGAGAAAGAAATTATCGAAATCACGCTAGAAAAATGTCTACATTTTTTACGCTTTAAACATTTACTTGATTGCAGAAATATTTCTCATTCATCTTTAAGAATCTTACAAAATCGTGTCAATTAACTTTTCGCATGCGTTTCTCCAACTTTTGGATTCCCTGGAGACTGGAAACTATGAAATAACTTCAAAATCATGACAATATGTTCGTACTTGAAATGATACCAAGTACTCTTTCAATATACATCATTGCTCGAGCTGTTGCAGATTTTGTCATGCCCGTATGCTTTGGGAATTCAATTATTAACATTCATTTCTATAATTAAGACACAATAACACGCCGAATAAATACTAATTCAGAAGTCAAACAAGTTCAAACTGCAAAACCGCAAGTGACTTGCGGTTTTGCAGCTAAAGATGGTGGTTCAGTAAAACCATCCAAACTAGCCCTGTGAAAATTTTGAAAATATAACGCTGATTTTTATTGTTTGACTTCTGAATTAGTATTCATTTCCATATTGCGTGATGAGTTCCGATTTGATGTCGTAAGTTGTGTCTCCATGCATATTCGCTCAGCTCATAAAGAACACATTAGGTAGATAGCCCCCGTGTGCTTTGTTATATTCAAATAACGTAACATAAAACCCATGGTAGAAGATATCTAATATATCAATGTAACAGTAAAAGGGAGCTGTCACAGAAAACTAAGACTTTGGACCTCCTCCCACGCTCACATGCGCAAATTCGGTGTTGAGCGGAAAAACGTTCGTTAATTTGTTCTAGATCGGGTATTCTCAGGCGGTGGTACGCAGGAGAAAAGTAGGGTACACACAAAAAAGCAAAGTATTTTTAACTATTAAATTCAAAAATTAAAACCTAAACATCTTGATATTTTTCCTCCAGCACTCGTAAATTTATGCAATCCGAGCTTTTGTTGAAGAGTGGTGGTAGTAGTACTTTGTAGTCGTGGTACTAAAGGTTTTAAATTTTTGTCTAGGTGGTACGCGTTAGTCAAAAGGTTGAGAACCGCTGTTCTAGACGATCGCGTTAGTCCTCTCATTTATCGTTACATATCGGTAGTCTCAAAGCATAGATTCTGTTAAGCAATTAATGAATTGACTCGTAGTTGGATAAGTAAGGTTACGGTGAGGGAGAGAGGTTGGGTGAAAAAGCATTTTAAAGATTTTTCTCATGTGTATAGCGAGTTTCCTTGGAAATCATTCTTAAGGCTTAAGAGACTCTTGATGGTTTTGCAAGCAAAGCTTAGCAATAAAGGTATGTTCCCGCCTATTTCAGGAAACATTAAGGTCTAAAAATCGTGTTCATAACTGTCTAGTCCTAGATGGGGACTGTTGAGTATCTTATTTGAGATACTTACATAAGTAGAGATTTAGATGACGCTTTAAGAAATATTAAAGTGAAACTATACTTTGATAACAATTTTGTGAAATATTTCAAGTTATATACATTTTTATAATACTCAAGTAGACTTTTCTGGGGTATTAAGTTTATTCTAAGCTTCACAACTACTAATCTTTGTTCAGTATTCTTATAATTTAGTTTTAAATCGGCATAATTTCTTTAGTGCATATTCTTACCATTATATTTTTCTGCGTAAAAAGTCGTGGAATTTAGACGATGAGTTTCTGTGCACACCGAATGAGTATTTTTCTAATTTTATTTTTTCAAAATTTTCAGTTCTGTTTTACATTTATTTTGTTATTGCGATAACTTTTTATAAACTTCGTAGGGTACTTTGTGGAAAACGAGAAGCTGAAAGATTAGAGTTAACAAAGAAAAATATTCATGCACTTAGGTTTACATTTCTACTGTTTAATAAGTCTTATTTTTCATTTCTTTTTCTACGAAGAAACCTCGTTTCGAAAGAGCTTACACTCAAAAACTTTGAAATTTTTTGCATAATCCTTTTCGTTTACTTTCATGTCAGTATCATCGGATGTAATTTTTGGAAATGTCATAAATTAAATTTTTTTATAGATGGCTCATCTGGCTTGGTGGTATTATTTATCAAAGTTCTTGGAGTTTACAGATACCGTAAGTATTTCTTCCCTTTGTCACTTTCGTTATTGCCCAATGAGAGAGAACTGAAATTTTCAAATGTTTGTTTTTTTTTGTTTGTCAGACATAAATCTTAAATTTAACTGATCGTGTTTATTCTGTCTGATGTCGAAAGTCTGTAGATTTTATTTCTGTTTTTAAATATTCCTTACGATTATTTTACTTCTTCCTTAATGAGTATTCAGTTCTTAATTTTGCTTCATTTGCGCGTACCATGTTAACTAAATTGTTAAATCTTTTATGATAACTCATTCAAATCTACGTAATTATATGTGCATTTTAACTGCCCATTTATTCAGATGAATCTGAATATCTTAAGCTTGCAAGGTTATTGAATTATTGCTTGAACATAATGTGAATAGAATTCATAGATATTAGAATTCATAGTGTTGAATTAAATGTTTTTGATTTCGTAAACTGTCATTTTAGTGCATTTATCAAAATAGAAAATTTATACCCTGGATTTGATTTGCAGATATTTTTCGTACTGAGGAAAAAGTTTACTCACATCTCCACTCTTCATGTGATACATCATGGAATAATGCCAATGAGTGTTTGGTGGGGAGTAAAATTCACGCCAGGTAGGTTTTTTTAATTTAATATTTTATCTCTAAAAGTGAATGTAATACACTGAAGTGACAAAAGCCATGGGATAGCAATATGAAAATATACAGATGGCAGTAGTATCGGGTAGAAAATGTATAAATGCGAAGTGCTTTGGCAAGGCTTTCATTTGTGTTCAAGTTATTCATGTGAAGAGGCTTTGACGTGATTATGGCCGCACGACGAGAATTAAGACTTTGAACGCGGAATGGTTGTTGGAGCTAGACGCATGTGTCGTTCCATTTCGGATATCGTTAGGGAATTCAAAATTCCGAGATCCACAATGTGAAGATTGTGCCGAGAGTATCTAATTTCAGGCATAACATCCCACCATGGACAGCGCAGTGGCCGACCACCTGCACTTAACGACCGAGACCAGCGACGTCTTCGTAGAGTTGTCAATGTTCACAGACCAGCAACACTGCGTCAAATAACCGCAGAAATCAATGTGGGACGTACGAGGGACGTGTTCGATAGGACAGTGCGGCGAAATTTGTCTTCCTTGGGCTATGCCAGCAGAAGACGGACTCGAGTGCCTTTACTGACAGCATGGCATCGCCTGCAGCGACTCTCGGAGGCTCGTGAGCATATCGGTTGGTCCCTAAACAAATGGGAAACCGTGGCTTGGTCAAATGAGTCACGATTTCAGTTGGTAAGAGCTGATGATAGGGTTCGAGTGTGGCGCAGACCCCACGAAGCCATGGACCCAAGTTGTCAACAAGGCACTGTTCAAGCTGGTGGTGGTTCTATAATGGCCTGGGCTGTTTTTACATGGCATGGACTCGGTCCTCTGTGCAATTGAACCGATCATTGACTGGAAATGGATACCGTCAGCTACTTGGAGATCACTTACAGCCATTCATGGACTTCACGTACTCAAACAACGATGGGATTTTTGGATGACAATGCGCCATGTCACCGGGCCACAAATGTTCGCGATTGGTTAGAAGAACATTCTGGACAATTCCAGCGAATGATCTGGCCACCTAGATCGCCCGACATGAATCCCATCGAACATTTATGGGACATCATCGAGAGGTCAGTTCGTGCCTAAAACCCTGCACCGTCAACACTTTCACAATTATGGACGTCTATAGAGGCAGCATGGCTCAATATTCCTGCAGGGAACTTCCAACGACTTGTTGAGTTCAGGCCACATCGAGTTGCTACACTTCGCCGGGCAAAAGGAGGACCGACAAAATATTAGGAGGTATCCCATGACTTTTGTCACTTCAGTGTAAATACATCATGGTGATCTACTCTCATGCTTTCATATGCATATTCAACAAATTACTGTAATGATGCTTCATAAGATAAACCTCATGTACTGAATTTTAACTTGATTAAATGAAAAAATGCTTATTTATTAGCGCTACTGTATTAGTACTTGCTTATGTATTAGTACTTGCTACTGTATATGCAGTACCACTAAGATACTTGACTAATCCAAAATTATGAAATTCTACTTTATGTTGCTTTATTTTTTAATTAGTATTTTAATACATGAACAGACAATAGATTTTAATTTTTGACATCTTTATAAATGCTTTCTTACATTGTCTTTTATAAAACAATTTCATTCTTTTCAAAAATGTTTTTAATTTCTCAGGTGGCCATAGTACCTTCTTTGCCTTTGTCAATAGCTTGGTTCACATCGTGATGTATTTTTACTATGCCTTGGCAGCTATTGGGCCAAGCATGAACAAATACTTGTGGTGGAAAAAGTATATGACTGCTTTCCAAATGGTAAAGTTTCCTTCTGCTTGTGGTATTTTAATCCTATATAGTGAGTTCAAAATGTTAAAATTTTCGTTAATTATTAGGTAAGCTGATTTGAAGCTTAGATTCTTAAATGAGTTCTATTTGACAATGAAATTTTAATAAGTAAAATGAAAAGCTTTTATCCAGTTAATTGTGGCACTCTCGTTTAAGAGTGCGCACCGTTTTGTGTCTCCAGAATCGACCCATGACTAGTATATTCGTCAATCACAGAGTAAGTTGCGCTGGTAAGATAAGATATTGGTTGAAAAAGATGGGTTTATTTTATAAAATTGAAAATTTTATTACAAATATTTACTTATTTGGTTAACATAAGCATATATTGCATACATATTAAACTAAAAACGCAATAAATTAAATATTAAACAAAATGTGCTGACTTATAAACCTTGACAACATTGCATGACTCGGAAAAAATTCTTTTTGGGATAGTTTACCGTTTTGAAAAGTTTAAACACAAGTCAATAATGTACTAAAAATAAGCAACAGCATGGATCTCTTTTGACAATTTTGAAAATTTACTGTCACAAAATATTTAGAATGTGAAACATTTTGTCATTTTTGCAATTTTAACAATTCCTCCGTTAAAATACGTTTCATTCAGTTTTGGAGATGACTGCTTTTTAAGTAAATGAAATTAGGAATTGATATGACCATTTTGTCTCTCCGCAGTAATATTTACATACACGGTGTGTACAAAAGTCCTAATCCAGCCTTACCAAATGTAACAAAATTTAAAGACGCTAATATGCAGTGCGTGGCATTTTGGGAAAATCAACCTCAAACGATTTATTGAAATTATTTATTAAGCAAACCCTCAATGCAAATTCAAAATGACTATCAAATATCGCCATTTTAGATAGTTGAATTTTTCTCGTGTGAGAGTCGCGTTTTTGTGCTTTTTTAGAGTTCAAAATGCTCCTAAATATAAGTATAGGGATCACAGGAAAGTGTGGAAAATTAAATTTCGTATTCTGTGTAATTTTTTAACTTTAAAATGTGAGACCATGGATCTATGATTAATTTAAAAACATATTTTTTGAATTGGAAGTATGTCTGTAACCAAGGATTTCAGAAATAAAATTCAGGTCAGGACTTTTATGGTCACGGTGTAGACTAAAAAACTACTTATCTAAAACTCCTTTCAGAAATAACTATCATCAAGGGCATAATTTAGCCTCAATATACATCTTGATAAACAGGAAAGTAATGAAAACAAATCTCTGAAGCAATTTATTTTTCTCATAATTTATCAAGGTTGAGTGACTGAAGGTGCGCAATACCAATAGACTCCCATTGTAGATATTAATGAGCTGGCTGTGTGAATTTTCTGGGTATACCGTGTGTGACGTAAATATGAAATAATTCTCTTAAAGAAAATTCTGTCGCTCATTTTCTTTGATTACTTCATTTAACTTCTTAAACTTGTATTGTCTTTTAAATGAGTTCGCAATTCGTGATATCATACAGTACAGCAAACTTCGAGTTTTAAAAAATATGAAAAAGGCATTTTTGTCCGAGAATAATTGTTAAATATATTTTAAACAAGTGTCATCATTTCTATGCAAATTATTTCACTAACGATGATGTCATTACAGGTCCAATTCATTGCCATCTTCGTGCATTCTTTCCAACTCCTCTTCAGAGAATGCAATTATCCTCGTGGATTCATGTGGTGGATCGGATTTCATGCCGTCCTGTTTTGGTTCCTCTTCGCAGATTTCTACAAGAACACCTACGGCAGGAAAAAGATAGCAGCTGCAAAAGCAAAATTAGAACTCAATGGTTCTGCTACATGCATGAATGGAAGTGCTAAAGCCAACGGAGTAGCAACAAATGGCTACTGCAATGGTACTCAAAAACTGAATGGAGTGTGCAAGCAGAATGGTGTCAATGGAGTAGTGATAATAAATGGAACTTCCAAGTTAAATGGCTACCATAAGCCTACCGAAAATGGATTCCAGAATGGAACTCTCTCTAATGGACATTCTAATAGAGTTATTGTGCACAGGACAGCAGCTAAAAGTGATAATGATGACTAAAACTAAAAACTGTAGAAATTGTTCGCCATGGACTAGTGTGTCAAGTCCAAGCTGTCGCCAAAAGGTTTAGCATGAAATCGCTCAGTTACAGTGCCTTAATACCGAACTATGTTATCCATTGTTATCTATGTCATTAGACTTTGGCATGTTTTGCCAAATTCGAGATATTTAATCTTCAGTTGTACACGTACCGTGAAACAGACTCATTTACCGCGCTGTTTGCTAAACCTGAGCCGATACGATGCTACAGATTCCTCCATAAGTTAAAATTTTAGGCAGGTGTTAACTTGCATTCGACGTGTGACAAACTTTTGCTACCGTTGATGGGAGTTTTTTCTAGAGTGAACTTAAGAGAGCTTAGTGCCTTAGAAGGTAATTTTTGAGCAGTCCAGTCAGAAATGCAACTGCTACGTTTTACTTTTTATCTCTATTGGTCAAACTAGAGATTTTCGAGCCATCATTTATCAAAGCAACTGCTGCTGATTTCGTCAGTTAACTTGTGTTTTTAAAGCTTAAAAAGGCTGTCCTAGGTGTCATTGTAGAGGTGTTTGCGAATCTGTTCCTGCAGATTTGTTCTCGCCCGTTTGTACAACTACTGGACACTTTTTTCTGCTAGTCCTTCATTATACTGTCAATGTCGTTAACTTATTTGTACAATTTTTTACATTAATAGTAGTAGTAGCAGGGGCTAGATTTTTTAATAATTTTACATGTTCTAAATATACATCAGTTGTTTTTACGAAATCCGTCCTTTTTAACTCACCATAGTAAATCCAGGTTCCATTTTCTCTTCCGGGAAACTACAGGTATCGAAGATGTATTTGTGAACACTTAAGGGACCACCTGAAGCATCGAATGAATTTTGTACAGTATTCTTTCTATAACCCCAGAGACTTTTATTTTGTTGCATTTGTACTTAATTGCTTGTATTAGCCTACGGGGTCAAAAAATAAAAAAAAAAATGTTTATACTTTGCATTCTGCTTCTTTTTATTTCATCTAAAACATTAAAGAAATGAACTAATTTTATACTGAGCTTCAAAACCAAGATATTGTTCCTAATAAGAATATTCACTTGCGAATGCTATCTACAGTTCAACATAAGTGTGATAAAATTGTGATATGTTCATCTGATAAATTTTACATTGCTCATATATCAACCCTTATTTTACTGTTTGTCTCATTTTATATCGGTGTTAAATATTGAAGTAATAAAATTGTTAATTATATTAAATACGTATCGACTTTAAAACAGGTTCCCTAAATAAAATGTTCCGAAACTAGAAACATTTGGATGAATTTTTTGTAATTTTTATTACGTAAAGGATTTTTTATGCATTTTCATATTTTTGTTTACTGTGAATTTGAAAAATGGGAGAGTCGTGCTCAGCGCAGGCCAAATGAAGTGCTTATCCAAGATAAATAGATGCAGGTTACGAAAAATTATTTATTACATGTGGAACTTGTAAAAAAAACTTTTTGAACTTTTTGACAACTCAAATCTTGCATTTGCTTTTTGGACGTTCTACCTAGCCATCTTTTCATAACTGTCTCTATTCATTTCTGAATATGTAAAACTTTGAGTATTCCTAATTGTGGAAAGTGTGTAAACCTGCACAATTTGAATAAATTTTAAGATTGTTCTGAAGGTTTTGGTCTTTTGCGAAGCTGATTAGAACTATGGATATGTTTCAATACTGATGTTTAATATCCTGAAACTCGAGTCGCTTTCATAGGTGGTTATCCAAGGCAGGAAATGGTCATGATGGTTCGTATATTTCTGAACGTTGAGTAAATAGTGCAGATTAAAATATATTGCAAATTCAGGATTGCTGGATATTTTCAAATACCTGCATTGTGATTGACGAAAGGGAATATTTTACTTAAGTTTTTGTTTATTACATACGCGCCAGCAGTTCTTTATCTTGTTCAAAGGTGCATCTGTAACATGTGTATATTTTTACTTTCATTACTCTTTAGGACTCCATATAAAAAATCATCGCATATCTTTTTGTCTATTCCAAGCACCAGGTGACCGCATAAAAGAAATGCATCTATATCATAAACTTAACGTGTTTCCTGTTTTAATACCTTCGTCTATAAATTTAGCGAGACAGGAACCTGTTGTATGAACTAACAAAGGCGACTACAAGTTTTGCTCATCTCGATTATCGTGTGACGTCATTGACTAATATTCTGCTCCAAAACAACTAAATCTGTACTTTTGTCCGGTTCTCTCATAAGGCAAGTGACGTTACAGAACTCTACCGTTGGGAAGACCATAATTTTGTTTATTTTAATCTTTTAATTAACTATCTCGTTACAAGTTCTTACGAAATATTACGTTAAATACAGCATATTAGAAGCTGAATATCCCAGACAATTGGAAAGCTCTAGTTCTTGTGCAAAACTCCAAGTTTATTCTGATACCTTAAGAATGCTATTGACCTAATCTGATGCCTCAACTGTCAATATTTTTCAAATGACATTTAGCAACGGTCACATTTTTGTCGGTATTTTAAAGGCGTAATTTTCCTATATCGATATATGCGAAATCGGTATTTGCGTGCAATTTTGTTTCCACTTAATTTATCGCTGCATTGAATGCAGAGCATCCAAGTGCTCTGCATTCATGAAATAGTAGTTAGGTGAGGTTAGTAATTTTTAATCGCTACTTTCCTGAAGCTGAAAACTTAAGTTTTTAGTTAAAACTGTAACCTATAAGCGGCCGAGCGGTAAAGTTCGCTGAACACTGGACAGTTAGAACGGGCTGGTTGCCTGAATGACGTTTTCGTCATGTGTGAGGCGTCTCCGTCCTCCGTCACCTGTATACGAGCCAATATCCCTTGGAAAGGTCCAACACGAAGGCATCCCTCCTCTTAAGCAGATAGCCCTTGTCTCCCTAGCCGTAATTAAATAATACAAACCATCCTCTAAAGTTTTAAAGCTCAAATGGCCTAATCCAGGCTGACAGGTGACGGAGGTCGGGGACGCCTGGTGTTCAACAGAGGTAAACAGGCATATGTCCCGCGCCCTCCCCTATCTACCGGGTGTTTATTTAGATCTTAAAATAATTATTACATTATCATACAGGGGCAGATGAGATATATTGGCTATTTATATTGTATTATAGATTTTAGGTTTGCAAGGTATACATTGCATAACGTACTGGTTACACATAAAAAAGTTAACATAACATACATGACACATAAACACTATTAATAAAGGAGGTACATGCGCTTAGCAGAAGGAAGATACACATAACTAGCACATTAAGCACACACATTTGTGTGTAGTTTATTACTTATGCTGGGGATCAATTTTGAATATGCATTCGATATACAGAATACGTAATGCGAAATACACTTAATGTATGTTACTCATAATACTGAATACACTGATAATACTGCTTACGACTACTACATGCAGAATAAACTTCGGTTTACTATATACAGGATACATAATGCCAAGTACACTTAATGTAGATATGTTACTCATGATACTGAATGCATTGATAATACTACTTACACCCGCTGCAGATACCAATCCAGGCTGACAAGGTAATTATTTAAATGATTATCAATAAAAACAGGCATATAGCCCTCGAGTGCTCTGCAGAGTTAAACTAATTAAATCTCTGTAAGCGGTACCTTTTTACGTACAGAAATTGTGATGTCAGTAAAATCTCCAAAACTAAATTTTTAAAGTGTAGTCTAATTCTTTGCATGAAAAGTGAACAGTAGCAATGCTTGCCAATTTTAAGATGCTAAGCACCAATTCCTTAAGAGTCCTCACTCCGAAGATTTACGGTAGTGTGTTCATGCAAATATTAGTACTATAGCAACGAATGCAAATAATTTTATTGTTGCAAATATTTTACTACTCCTTCTCTTAACATTTTTCATAAACTCGTGTAAGGTTTTGTGCCAGAAACTGAAATCAATCTCTTAAACTTTTATCACCTTGTTCAGTACATAATTATTCAGTTTTCTTAAGTCTAATTAAATGAAGAACTTCTGAACTAATTTGGTAATATGTAATGATATAGTGATGAAATCTGAAGTCAAAATTAAGACTCCAATATTTTTAACTGATTCTGAACTGAGAAACACCGCTGATTTTTTAACTTCCTGTTTCTTTTCATAATTGCCCTAAATTTCATAAAATGTGTTTAACTTGAAAGCAAATCTATAAATGAAATTTTGTTGTTCAGTATTATCTGGGGAAAGTCTTTAATACGAATATTTGAAATTTTAATTAAAATTACGAAAAACATCCTTAATGAAGAATGCTTCTTCAGTTTTCCAAGAACTTTCCGAAATTATGGCAACCTGTATTCCCACAATCTCAGTATGCCGTTTTAGAAAAGACGACCCAGTTCTAGTGGAATTTGCAAACAAACTGTTTAACCATTAATTTTGTTTTTCTTGGATTTCTTCAGTCGAGGCTTTTCATCCGTTTGAATGTACGAAAATCCGAAAGAATTGAATCCGAAAAGAATTGAATGTACCAATCTTTAATCAATATCGCTCTATATTATAACTTAATTTGTGCTGCTATTTCGGGGCATTTTCTGTGTCGCAACTTCCCATTTTTGTCCTATATTTGTCGCTTTATTAAATGTTTGCACAAATTACTCAGGTGCATTTTTAAAACGAACGTAAGAAATAATTCGCAGAATTTAATGCTAAACTTCTCTATCCAAACAATTTTCCTCTAAGTTTATAAAATTCCTAATGAAACACAAATTTATATTTCCAAATGAGACCTTGTTTATTTTCTAATGTAAGCACTAAACAAAAAATTCGAACGTTAATATGATAAACTTCAGTATAAGTACTCTCGTAATAAAAATTTATTAAAGTCAACTTATTTAGCCGTTGTCCTGAAAAACGTTTCGCAATTTTTTTGCATTTTCATACTAATGCCCACGAATAGTAATTTCTTTAATATAATACTTTCATAGAACTCTGGACACTCTAAGTATATAATGTAATTAATTTCAAGTATATAGTGCGATTCTTTGAGAAGATTGAACACAATTAACTTTTTCTTGGTTTTCCGAACGTACAGAATGTACCGTAAATGTTGCGACAAACTTCTAGGGGAGGTGGTGCACATCATAAGGATTAAGAATTGCATAGGAACCCATGCCCGGAAATGTCAGCGGGGTAAGTGGCAGCAGAGGTAGAAGATTGGGGAGGGGAAACAAGATTGATTAATTTGAAACATTTATTGGATATGAATACAAATGGTGTACGACAGCTTTGTTACAACAGATGCTTGAAGTTTGCACCATCAGACGCCAAATATTCTCTACACCGACGAACCATTTATTGCCGAACATATTCAAACACACAATGCGTTTCTTTGATTGTAGGAGCTGCGCAGGCGAGGTTTACCACGGGATCCATTTCAGACACAACAGGATCGTGACACGCGACACTTTTGATGGCTTGCCACAAAAAGAAATCAAGGCTTGATAAATCTGGTGAGCGTGGGGACCAGAAAACTGGTCCACCACGCCCAATCTATTGATTGCGGGAATGATCTGTTCAAAATGCGCAGGGTCCCATCATGTTGGAATCGCATGTTGCGCCTCGCATTTGGTGGAAGGTCGTTAAGCAAATCGGGAAGAACCTGCTCCAGAAAGATTAAATAACTCGCGGCATTGAAATGATCCATCGGTGTCGGGCATGTTTGGCGTCTGATGGTGCACACTTCGTGCATTTGTTGTAACATTAAAGCTGTCGAAACACCATCTGTATTCATGACCAATAAATGTTGAAAATTAATCACTTCTTTTCCCCATCTACTACCTCTTACCCCTTGCATTTTTGGGTGTAGGTTCCTATGCAATTGTTAATTCTTATGGTGTGCCCTACCTTCCCTAGAAGTTTGTCGCAACATTTGCGGTACACTCTGTATAACACGAATATGAGTCAGTTTTCCTCAATATTCCAAAATGAAATCTTTCG